ACGTGTGCTCTTCCGATCTCCCCAAAACCCCAAAACCCCTAAGATTGATATTCATTTAATAAGGAAAAGGAAGACTTAATTATTATTGAATATATAATCTTAGTGAAGATCAAGATGGTATTGGTATCTAAGGAAAACAAAAGAAAGATCTACGAGTATTTACTAGCTGAAGGAGTTCTAGTCGTCAAGAAAGATACTTACCTCCCCAAGCACCATAACTTGCAAGACGTGCCAAACCTCTAAGTAATGATGGTCGTCAAATCCTTGAAATCCAAGGGCCTCGTTCAGGATGTCTTCTGCTGGTAATGGGCTTACTACACAATCACCAACAAGGGAGTCCAATTCCTCGTTAAGGAGCTCTGTAAGTACCCCTTTTAACGTTACATGTCAAACTAACTCATTTTTAGCACTCCCATCCGACATTGTCCCCTCCACCTTCAAGAAGAAGAGAGCCACCGCTGCTGCTCCAAAAGCCAAGGGAGAAGAAGGCGACGAGAAGGCTGGCAGACCAACCGAAGAACCCACAAGAGCTGCTGGACTTGGAAGAGGTCAAAGATGAACTAGCTAGTAATGCTGAGTGACCAATCTGAAGATTAATGCAGATCAAAAGATTTCAACTGCTGCAATTTATTTCTAATCTTTATCAATACTTCTGTTTTGTATATTATATATATATTCTCCTCATTTATTTAAAGTTATTATATTTAAAAGTATTTGTTAAATTTCGATTTCCCAATAGAAATTATTATGGCATCACTTTAAAAAACAATGCATCTTTCAGCAGAGGACTCAAAGGTTTAATAGACGCAGTCAGCGTTCTCCTCCTAGACTTCATCTCAAACAGTTTTTACTTATGATCAAGTAGAATATAGTCAAACATATGACTAGCAATCGTCAAGCGATCCGTAAGATCAATAGTAGCCTACAACAATATTTCTTAGTCTTAGCAATATCCTCAATTCAAAATAAGTAACCAGCTAATAATAGTAAAATCAATTGGCAGATAAAAGAAATTCAATACAATCGTAAATCCTTTAAGAAGACTAAGAATATAAAAGATCTGTGCTATCTTCCAATCAGAGTTCATCGAAAAAGGGAAGTCTTCACACTTAATCATCAGCTAAATCTTCTAAAAAGGTTGAGTATTAAAATATTGTTAGTGATGAGATAGCTGATTTTAGACAGGAAAATAACTCAAATAACAAACCTCTATTTACTTCAACATTAGACGCATTAATTGATCAATTTTAGAAAAAGTCAACGCAAAACAAATAAAGTATCTAACAGAACTCTAATCACACTTAGTAATCATCAGGCCATTTATAAAGTAGCAGCACTTTAAATTTCATTAGGATTGAAGGAGATAACAGTGGGCCTCCTTCTATGATTGGTCTCAACTATTCCTAAGCTAGTGATAACACTCTGCTTTAATCGATGCAGCAAAGTATATCTCAAATATAGATCCCTTCAAATGGTTTATCTTAATCTCTAGACCTCAATCTTAAAAATAGTAGTAGTAGTCTACTTGTCTAGGCTCAAAATTATGTCTTAAACAAGAAAAATGCAATTACTAAAAACGATTATTTATCAGTTAAAAAGGATACTAATAATGGTGCTAAAAATGAAGTAGTATATGAAGATGCAGCATAATACTAGAATTAATCAAAACATAGACAACAAAGAAGTGGTGATAACTACACTATTAGAAAACACTTAAATTTAGGAGAACTTCAACAAGAATATGGAAATACACAACAAAACCCCTAGTTAAAAGTCAGATTCGCTGAAGAGGTATAGGTTGCAGAAATATCTTGCAGATCTTCTACAGACATTAGCAAAGAATCTTTTATGAGAGGAGGTTTGAGTCCGAGAAGACTCATCAATGAAGATCAAAATAACAATTAACTAGCCTTATAAAGAGGTATATTGGGAAGCTCAATCTCTAGTAGCTGTTCTATGATTGAAAGAATCTAAGAAGCTAAAAATAATAACAAGAAATATGAGAAACTGATAGAAGAATTTAAGAAGACTTCACAAAAGGATACTGAGGAAGAGGAAAAATTCAATTCAAATTCTAAAGAGTCTATTTAATCTCCCTTAACTAATTCCAATATCTAAATTCTTGACTCCCATATGTAGGAATTTCAATCATAATGCTGCGTTTAACCTTAAAATGAAATAAAACTGTCTACTATAAAACATGTCTAGATCACATAAAACCAATTGATGGAATAGAACTCTGTCTTGGCACACTAGCATCCATTTTCATAGTCGATGATTTTAGATAAAAGCATTTCTGGCTTAAGTATTATTAATGATAAAACTTTGCTGAGATTGGATGATACGAAAACGATTTCAAATAATGCTAGTTTATTAAATGAGAGTGAGCTCAAAAGATCTTTCTAAGCAGGGGCATAAACTTAAAGAGAGAAGAGGAAATCACTGGAGATTTGTTCTACTTCAGCAACTAGATATAATCCAAGATTGACTAAATAACAGAACTCTAAAACAAATTTACAACTCACTAACTAGTAGAAGAATTACAGGCATTAATTTTTAGTTCAAAACAAAAATTTAACTTAAAAAGCAAATCAGCCCTAGATTAAGTAAAAAAAGCAGTTAACTTAATCTGATAAGAAACAGAAGTTTAATGCTTTTCTATTAACTAATTAACAACAAAAGTTGACAAAAAAGGCTCCAGAAGTGAAGGAAAAATTTGGTTCAATGAAAAAAAGAACTTCCTCACTTCCTAAACTGAATTCTCAACAAACCCTTTTAAAACTTAACCCAAGAAATCCATCACTCTTTAAATCAGCTGTAAACTAACCATAGTTAACAAACAGAATCAACACTTCTAATGGTAATAGTGATTTCAGTTCATTAAATGCTGACATCTAATAAATCCTAAGAGACAAACCCAACACAAATCAAAATAGATCTCATTCAGTTAAATCCAGAAGTAGAAGTCATGATAATCAAGCTAAAATGAATCTAAGCAAGACAAGTCTTAGATCTATTGGAAGTAATAGAGGATTAGGCAAGAGGTTTTTCTCAAATGACTATAATGAATAAAATAGGGTTTATGAGCAAAATAACTCTTTGAAAAAAGAGTATAGGAAGAATTTCACCAATCACTCATTGATCTAGAGGTAATTAGCTGAGAAATAGCAATTCAGTACTTAATAGAGTGTATTCAGCGAGATATAAAATATTGTTAATAATTAGCCAGAAAACTAAAGCAATTAACATTTATAGCATAAGTCACTAAATCTTGATCATAATATTCTCTAGCTCTAAAACGTCAGTCTAGCTGATCCAATTCTTTCAAATAAAACACCTCATTTTACCACAACAAATTAAGAAAATTAGATTTTCTTGAGTAAATAGCAATAGTACTAACTTAATGAAAAGTTAAACTCAGATACAAGAAGATTAAGTTTGATCTGCGATTCAAATTAATCGTTGAGCAAGATTCATTTAATGAGTGGAGTAAAAATGTCAAGTCCAAGTACATTTAATGAAGGCACACCTTATAGGTAGCTTAACAATATATTGATGTCTCCTTTACCACCTTAATCTGAAGAACAGCCCTCAGAAAATGATTATTAATTCACATTAATGAACCCTCCACAAATAGCAAATAGGTAAGGGCTTAGAAATGTTGACATTAGACAATCTATGCAAAAAGAATGTGGCTTGTCACCTACATCTCAATCAACTAAAAATATTAATCGTAATCAAATATATGGGTAGCCTAATCATAGCTAATAAAACATTCATTAAAATATGATGCTTGCTAATATTACGAACTTCTCTTCTTCGTTAACAACTCCTTTTAGCAATAAATCAGACAGCAATAACCACTAGTCTCTCTAAAACAGTAGCGCATTAAAGCAAGATATAAATTATTAATCAAACTAAAAGCCAGTCCCAGTATTCTTTGATACCTAAGAGAATAGCAGCGAGAAAAAAGATGTCAATATAATAAACTCAAATGATAACATTATTATGAGCCTTACTGATACACCCTAATAGAAGTAGAAATATTCAGATAAGCTAGAAGGTCCTAGTGTGATCTTTGTTTGTCCCTATTAATGCAAAGACTGCAGACTCTAGGAAGCATCTACATTACAAATGTAAAATGTATCTTAGACTATCTAGCACTCATAGAAACTTAGATAATCCCTCTCTCCCAACAGCAATGAGGAAACTTTAGAGATGCTTATATAATAACACAAAGAAATTGAGCTCAAGATCCAAAGAATTTTAAATCAAAGATGAATATACGAATTTAAAGAAATGTTATTATTAGTGAATCTACAAATTATGAAGGCTATTAGGATTATGATTGATAAGTTAATAGCCGAAATTATTTCAAAAGTTTATCATTTAACTAATTTTTACTGAATCCAGCACGAAGGGGTTTTGGGGTTTTGGGGTTTTGGGGTTTTGGGG